TATAAATCTGAGATCATCATTTATCTAGATAATAATAGGAGTAATTTATACTTGGTAATTAGTATTCTTTCTCTGTGGGTACGACCCTATTTTCCGCTATACTAGTGTTAAGTAGGTAAATTTATTTGACTAGTTGTGAGGACGGCTTGCCAGGTGGGAGGTGCATCCTACGGCCATAGTGACAGACAGGTTGTTGGGACTGGTAGGTCCAATCAGTAAGTGGTTTCTAGAGTCTGCACATCTTCTGTGCGTGTGGCACATCGACAGATGTATTGTGACACACGCGTATCAGCATTGTTGTAGCGAATTCGCAACTTGGTGGATGGACAATGTATTCAGAGAGATACTTCTGCTCCTACTGAGTACGAATATGCAATGACTGTGGAAGAGATGAATGTGTACAAGCACTCAGATGCTAAAAGTTATAGAAAGTTGGTGAAGTATGTCGAGGACATTTGGCTAGTTCACAAGAAGAAGTGGGCTCATGCGTGGATAAATAAGGTGACACATTTGGGAAACACTAGTAATTGTTGGGTGGAGGTCGCTCATAGTGCTTTGAAGTAGTTTCTTGAGACGTCGAACCTGCAGCTAGATACAATGTGGATCAAAAATCACAATGGGATCGAGCATGCTTTCACTGAGATCAGGTACATTATATTATTGTGTTTTTTTTTTTTATTTCACTTCGTATTACTAATAGTATTACCAACAGTATTAGATTAACAATGAGGATTTTTAATTGCAGGTTCAGTCTAGGGATGTCGGTGCGACGTTCGAATCTATCCCACCTTCAGTTTCCCTATAATCGTATAGCTGAACGTGTTTCACATTACTGCCTGGAAATCCTTGATATGGAGTTTGCTCGCATGCATGAACTGGGTAAAGATGTTTACCAGAGTTGTAATTGTGTGTTGAAAAAGACTCATGGAATCCCTTGTGCGTGGAGCTTAGACGGATAGTTGATGAGCGGTTGCCCCTGGAAGTGGCCGACCTCCACCCTTTTTAGAGCAGACTAGATTATACAAGAAATATGCCTGATTTGGCCCCTGATGATGATGATTCTGATGATGATAATGATATTGCGAAGGTGGCTTATAACAAGGAACCTGATGTTTTGAGGCACATCAATGCGTTCTTGCAACATGAGCTGAGCATATGAGATACGAGCAATCGACAGTGAAGACGAGTGTGAAAGGTCGTCCGAAACTTAAGAAACGGATCCCCTGTTTTTGGGAGAAGCGTAAGACAGGGAATGGGCAATCTCGCATGAGTATTTCGTCATAGAAGGACACACCTTCTGGATCCTCGCATACATCCAATGATAGAGGTAAGAATATTTTATATTATTGCACATTTAGATTTAAAAATTTACATTGAAAATATAATCTGATAAAGTCAATTTTATTTTTTTTAATAGGTGACACAAGAGGTTAGAGGACGGATATTGTTTCCTATGGAAGTGCTAAGGCCATATTGTATTTTATGCTTCCCTACATTCAGAGATGCCTTGATGTGGAGCCAGATGGGAATTGTGGGTTCCGTTGTGTGGCAGAGTATATCCGTGGCACGTAGGATCTTCTTACATTGCCTGATTTGTGGCTGCGGGTCCAAGCAGTGATTGTTAGTGATCTTCTTACATTGCCTGATTTGTGGGATAATGTGTACTATGGAAAGAGAATGGCTCGAATGAAAATCCTTGGTGAATTGAACAAACAATGCCTGATGTTCCCTTGCAGTCTCCGGATCCCATCTGCGCAATTCACCTAGTGTGTCTCCATACAACACAAACAATCGGTTGATCCACTACACATAAAAATAAGAAAATACAATTAATATTATATTAAATAAATCGTAACTAAATTTATTAATCTTATAATAGACAAAAGTCTTACGTGAGATATGTTTCCAACTCCAGCTCTCGAAGTCCCAACAGTAGCGCGATCCAAAACAAGCAAAGAATGCGAAACTCAAATGTACTAGTCCAGGTAACCATCTACGCATACAGTCTCATCTGTATCACTCGGCTGTAACTCGCCTAGATCGAGCTTGCTACTTAACATGAATTGAACCCAAGCATCTAACGCAATAGTGCGTGACTATATAACCTCGTACAGCTTAGATGTACTACTACGAACCACCTCCGAGGGACTCGGGATAGGTGGAGGAATGGTCTGGATGTACCCAATCTGGCGCAATACTCGTGCAGGTAAGTATGACTCAATAATATCTCGGTACTGTATCCAACCATTGTACATGGTACTCGAATCATCGGCAACAGGCTCGAGTCCATAAGGCAACCATGTCACCTACACACAAGACATAAGAAATATTAACAACGACATTTTTTATAATAATTCATAATCAAGAATACTAAATGTGACATACATCCGCGGCTGTCAGGCCGTCGATCTCCCGCCGAAACTTTTTCAGACGCTTTTGCGCTATTATCAGGACCTGGGACATCCCACCATCCAGCTCGGGGAATTGCAGGATCCCCTAAGGCACGGTCCGCACTTGGCCTGAAGCGTGGAAAATATTCATATATCCACGCCTGAATGAGTGTGAAGCACCCAAACATTGAGGCATTTTGCGCTCTGGTGGACACACCAAACTGGCGATAAAGATAGGCTAGAGTAGTAGAGCCCCATGAAATTTTGTAACAAGTGGGTAGGCCATCAATAATCTCTGAGAGAATCGCCACTCTAATCCGAGCCCCGATCCTATCCATAAACAACGTGTTCCTAACATGAGCCATAACCAGGCAATCGCCTGATCTCGAGCAGACCGACCAATACGGTAATACTTCAGGACATCCTTTCTCTGAATCCCCCCACTCTGATATGCTTTACTAGTGATTAGATCCTCAACAGGCAATGATAACATCCTCATGGCCAAATTATGACAATCACTAACCTCAAGCTGTGATGTAATCAATCTACCATCAATGGAAATACCCAATATCCGTCGCGCATCGTGCAACATAATGATCATCTCTCCAAAAGGCATGTGGAACGTTTTGGTGTCCGGCTGCCACCTCTCCACAAATGCTGTAATGAGTGCCTTATTAATGTTGTTGTGCATGATGTCCCCAATGTGGGACAACCCTGTATGCTCTAACAAGTTCTTCCTCTCTCGCGCCATACTAACCTTCCAATCTTTTATTTTCTTGAAGTATGTGATTCTTGTATCCATTTGTAAGGGGCTTTTATATGAGTCTTCTATCAAGAGAGTGGCCACATGCCCAAGAAAATTAGGAATAACAGAACCGTCCTGAGGGCCACCCCTAACTGGCCCCGTCACAATCCAATTGCCGGCATTGCTCACTGAAATTATTATAAATAAATCATACATTTTGTTCCAAAATATTTGAAAAAAAAAATTATAATTTATTTTTTTAAAAAAATATTATACATGATGATGATGATGATGCAATAGCAGACTCACTGCCGTCATGACGAATAACAAGGCATGGTCTAGCTACAGGGGGAGGTCTAACTGGAAGTGGAGATGGAGGTGTGTCATTTTCGAACTGATCATACCCGTCCGAGTCGAAATTTTCAAATGGAACATTTTCTTCATCGTTGACATTCTCCAAGTCCAGACTAGCCTGATCAAATACCTCCTCAAGTCTCCGTGGACCAGACCCAACCATCAATGTAGGATCAGGTATCTTTTTTCTTTAACCTACATTGATTAATATATAACTACACCATTACAATAATTCATGTAAAAATTAAAATAACACATAAATTAAACATATGGTTAAATAATCAAATAATTATAACATCTTTAAATTATAACCTATTTAAATTATTGCTAAAATATTTATAATACATAAATTAAAAGATGCCATAATTATTTAAATATAACAACTAATTACTTAAAACTACGGTCAAATAATCAACTAATTACTTAAAACTACGAAAATTGTAATTATAACACATTTATTAAAACATGCCTAACTAAAATATAACAACGATTTATTTAAGTCTATGATTAAATAATTATAAAATATCTCATTAATTAATACATAACAAAATATAATTAAACTATATTATTTTTAAAATTCTAATTATACTCATTCAAATTTATTTAAACTATAATAACATGAACACCAATAAATAAAATATAATCAATAATAGATAACAAGATATAATTAAAACTAATTATTGAAAAATATAATCAATAAATAAATTAAATATAACAAAATAATAACAAACACAATATATATATATATATATATATATATATATATATATATATATATAAATTACTCGGGGGTAGCTAGCGATGGCCTCACTACCCCAGGTTAGGTAACCCCCGCGGAATCGGCTACCCGTGGGGAAGGTAGCCGATCTGAGACCGGCTACCTTTGGAAGAGTAGCTGGATCTAAATTGGCTACTCTTCAAAATGTAGCCGGTCTCGGATCGGCGGTTACCTTCCCCCTGAATAGCTGATCCTGCGGGGGTTACTCGACCAGAGGTAGTCGGTCCACCGTCGGTTACCCAATTTCAGAATTCTTTTTTTTTTTTTCAAATTTATTTCTAACAATTTTGATAAAAAATAAACTTACCGGTGCAGAGGGCGAGCTTCTCCGACGTTGTATGCTCTAATCCGTCATTTTTTTAGCTCCCGGATCTTTGTAGATCTAAGTTTAAGTGATGGGTTTTTGAGTTTGAATTTGAAGAAGAAGAAAGGAAAAGGAGGAAGGATGAAGAGGAGGAAGGAAGGGGAAGAAAATGAGAAAGAAGGGCAAAAATGTCCAGCTGACTGTAAATGAGTAATTTTTTTGACTGTGAAAAACAATTCAGATAGTTTAATTACAAATGATGTTAATACAAGATGGAAGATTGGAAGGGGCTATTATTGCATTCTCAAAAACGCACGGGGAACGAACTACCGTTTCATAAATCACGAGGGACTAAAATTGATAATTTCGGAAACCAGTTTTTAACGGAAACCCGGAAAAGAAAAGACGGTCTTGGCCTTTGAAACGAAGATGCTTACGGCAGCGCCATCCTTAGCCTCCTCCTCCCACTTCCTTCCTCGCTTCACTTCATCTTTCTTCTTCACAAGAAAGCTTCACCTCCATAGGTATCCTCTTTCTCTTTTCGTTTCTCTTTCCTTTTTTATTCATGATTTTAATGTCGTTAAGTTGAGTAATTTGTATATTGTTATGTTCGATTGCTGCTGGGTTTTCGTTTCTCTTCCTGTTTTTGGGTTGATTTCCAGCTTCTTTTTGTGGATATTCTGGTTCTCCGGTTTAGGTGTTTAGTTTTGGTCGCCGGGATTTGGTAATGCTTGACTTCTTGGCAATTAAATCTAAGATTAATTTCGGTGTTTTTGCCGTTTTGCCCCTTTTGTTGTTCTGGGTTATCATTAGGCGGTGGTAGTGTTTTTGTTCCCGTTAATGTCCTGTTTGTGATTGCCAGAAACTGGGGCAAATCGATATGTGGGTAGATTTTGATTGACACCGTCTGATTTGGCGGTAGTGAACTCGAGTTTAATTTATTTTTTGATAGTTTGTTGTGGTTTTACTGTTGTACTTGGATCAGTTAATTGTATTTGAACTTTTGCGTCTCTTTTTCGGTTGTAGATTCCTTTACTCTGGTATATTGAGAATATTTTTTTTGCTTTAAATCTTTCCAGAGTTCATTGTTTCAGTAAAATGAGCACCACGCCGACAACTGGGCCCCTGATTCCCAAATTTGTACCTGTTGAGATCAGTGACATTGCTTCAGCTAGTAGGCCGGATGGTATGCTATTTCCTTCGAATGATACATGGCGGTTGTTTTTTTCTTTCCTTGTTTTGATCTTCTCATTTTGTCTTATATGTGTTCTTGTAGATTGCTCCTATATTCACTTGTTTTAATTTTGATACCTTGTGAAGTATACTAATACGATGCAACTGTTACAGGCAACCGGTTGAGTCTTGTGTCGTACAACATTCTGGCTCAGGTCAGTGAGTAGAACTTAGAGGGCCTTCTGTGATTTCTTTCATTTTACTATGTGACTTCGCTGATTGTTGATTAATTTTAAGTGTTTTCTTCTTGGATTGTAATTTTGTAGTCGAAAATTTGTAGTGGCATGTGCTAATGTATTTTGGCATATTAACTTGTTACCTTGAAAGTGACAACTGCTGGATTTAACCAACGTGCTAGACATGACTGCCGTGCCTACTTGAAAGGATATGATTGCATAAGAAACTCAAGTAATAACATATTGTTCCAATTGACATGGAAATAAAATATATAATACCTATGGCGTAGGATCTCTTTTGGGAAATTGTATTCATTGATTATTCAATACCAGAAGTTTTTGATTGTAATGATGTGTTATCATTTAATGCAGATCCTGAATTCTATATTACCTCCAGTTTTTCTATGATATATTGGAGGTGAAGGACTGACCCCATAGCAGTAATGAACTGTTTAAAGTGCCCATGCTCTTGCGTTATCTTGCGTTATCATAATGCAACTTCATTGAGGGTAAAATGATTAAGAACTATTCAACATGATGTAATTTGAAATTCAGTGACTGACTTGAATAATAAGTAAATGTTCACCATTGCTAAATAAAAGAACAATGTTGAATTAAATCATGCAATGATATAAATTATTAGCAAAAAGCAGGATCCTGAAATGGATGGGAGCATTAACCACTAACTAAGTTCAACATTTGTTGTGGTCCTTTAGAATTTTTAGTTCATCGTTTTACATCCTTTAATGAAGGTTTGATATTTTTTAACTGGATTTTTACCTGTCAGATTTTAGTTTGTTCTATGGGAAATTGATTGCTGACTCTTTTGCTACAAATACTAAATATGCTGTCCTATGAATTGTAACATCAGCGGTTACTTGATCCTCTGATCATATTTCATAGTTGAATCCTTTTATATAATCTATCTTCCTCTTAAGAAAATTAACTTTTTACCATGTTTACTTGCAGGCATATGTGAAGAGTGCTTTTTTCCCACACTCTCCCGGGCCTTGCCTAAAGTAAATCTCTTGATTTCAGTTTGTTTTGTTTAGTTTTGCTCTTGTTTCGTTTTTACGTGTTTTTTTGTCTTGTTTTGTTTTGTTTTGTTTTGTTCTAGTTATTATTAATATTTTTAAAACTTTCAACCTTCGATTATCTAGTCAATGTATGGTTGTGGTAGTAGTTTTCAGGTTGTTTAGGTTTTTTTTGGTCTGGTAATCTATTTGTTATTTGGTTTCATAAGAGACGAAAGCCCAAGGAATCAAGTCGGATTGGTTTCGGGAATGAGAGCATTCAACTTTACCTATATTTTTAGATATCTAAGTCTAGAGCATTAGTGAAGAGCACCGACCTTAATGGTATGCCTGAAAGTCGTGAATTCATACTCTTTAAGATTCTGGAACCTTGATTCCGCAAACCACAAAAAGTTTGGCTTTATGGATTTCAAGTTTGCATAGAACTCATACATCAAATGTTTGATGACAATAGGAGGGGGGTGCCACGTAGTTATTTTAACCAAATCTTCTTGGACTCTGTACAGTTTTTTTGGTAGCAAAACGCTGATGCTAGTCGTGAGACGCTAATATTTATCTTCAATTATACCATTGAATTTAGGTAATTGCCATAGAGAATTGACGTCTTGTGAGTAGGTATACGTGATAGTCTATTACTCCTGTTGGCCTAAAGTAGTCTAAACATAAAATTTGAAGAAGTGTAAGTGGGAAGTCAAATATGAAATGAGCACTACTTTTATTGATTTCCCACGCTAGCATACGAGGGGACCACAACCCCACTTCAACTTTTCAAAGAATTTCTTTACTATTGTTATTCTTTGAGAGTGGTTGTGGGTTTCGCTCTTCTTAAGCTTATAGTAGTCTTTGTTAGTGGTACGTGTGAATGCGAATTATTATTGGTTATCTAAACTTCCCTTAAGAGTACAAGTTTAATAGCTGAACATGGAACGAGTATTAGCTTCTACTGAATAACTCAATGAAAAAATAAAATGTACTCTTGCCCACCCATTATTGTCTTGTATTGACAACATATGATTTCTAATATTTTACTAGGTATAACTCATAAATTGATCAATCTTTTTAGTTTTTCCTTTTGTCATTATAGTTGAACTACATACAGTCATATATCATCATGTTAGCAAAACTTTTGAGGTACAATAAACTTAGGAACCAAAAAGCGCATAACATGACTCCTCTTTGGGTATATATATTATGGGATAGAGGGAATAACATATGTAAATAGATGGTTTTAACTAGTAACATGAGGACTATGACTAGAGCTGCAACTTTTAACAAATTTCTTCGAGTAGTGTCCTTGAGATAGGTTTTGATTTTGCTCATTTTTAGCTTTAGATGATGATTATTGTTATTATTCTTATAATGTGGATTAAGCTTTATTGTGCAGAGAATTGTTTTCACTGTAATTCACAGTCGTAGTCCATGAAGTTGCATGATTAAACTTATCTCTATGTTTGTTTAACCATTAGGATCTGATCTTCTGAGTATCCATCATTTCATCTTCCTTATTTCCTAAGTGAGAATTACTCTAGTTACAACAGTAAGCTCTAAACTTGCACGAGTAACTTGTGTTTAATCATTCCAAGCTTGTAACATAAAATTCACAGATTCATAAAAGTATGTGCACAATCATGTCATTATGTGGTCAAACTCAAAGCAGACTACTACGTAAAAGCCACCAAGTTTTCACAATATGGAGGCAAAAATCACAAACCCATATCAAATATCAGAATGAGATACTCATAGAATTGATAAATAAACTCCTTCCTTTTCCAAGGTAGATACAACTCCAAAGCTCCATAAATGAGTTGCTCGTAGTTAATCGACGAACAATCCTTATAATTTTAGCAAAAAGAATTAAATAAGTTGTAGAAATCACTTTATCTTTATAAACTGGGTGTTCTTGGTCTTTTCGTTCCTTCCATGTGTAGAAATATGTGTGACATAGTGTACCGAGAGGTAATCATATGTTATAGACATCACAAACTTCTTGACCCTCTCCTCATATTGTCAGAATTCGCTCCTTTCTAGAACGAAAACTTTATGAAATGCGGAGTGAAGTGGTAAGAAGTCACCATTGATGTCGACACATCTGACTCTTGTACGTAAGCCAAATGGAAGATGTACTTAGAAAATGTGTCAGAAATGAAGTAAACCTTGTGAGAGTTTGCATGCTAGTTATATAATTTTTTCCGAACAATATTTTCTTTGGCATAATGTGATTTCCTGTTGGATTTTGTGATGAGACTCAAATGTTGATTCTGCACTTAGCACAGATGGAAAGCTCGTTCACAGGCTATATTGGCTGTTCTCAAGAGTCTGGGGGCCGATATTTTTTGCTTGCAGGTTGTTGCTCCAGGCCTTAGTTTAACTATTTGAATAATATCATTGATGTTCCTGCTGTTTGTGATTTTGTCTCCAATCTAGTTTAGGCCCCTCGTTTTAATATCGTCAATTTTCTTTAGGAAGTAGATGAGTATGACACCTTTTACAAGCAGAACATGGAGAAGCTTGGCTATTCAAGTACTTACGTTAAAAGAACTGGACAAAAACGTGATGGCTGTGGGATCTTTTATAAAACGAGCAGGTATAAAAGAAAAGCAAATGGGGTGATCTGCTGCTTGATGATGGTATCGTTATTTGGCATCTGAACTTTTTCGTCCTCTATTGTGCCTTTCGACTCCTTTCCTTTTCTTCAGTTTTATTTAGGGTAATTTTGTTTTTGAATCTATACACTGATTTATGTTTTGACTTTGGTAGTTTTATGAATTTATTATATCTGTTTCTGGACTTCATACAAGGTGACTAGAAAAGTTTTTTGTTTTTTTTATTTATTTTATCCGCATTTGTTCAACTTATTATGTATAGTTACCTGAAGATCCTTCTATTTCTCTTCTTCTTCTTCTTCTTCTTCTTTTATTTATTTATTTTAAAAAAATTTGTATTTTTGGTTCTATATTGTTTTACTGGTGTGAGGTACTTGTAATTTTTCCGAAATGGCAGGAAAGTAATTTTCTGAAACATAGATTATTGCTGCAAATGCTGACAGTTCACTCAAGAAAGTAGACTAAATATTCTGAAGAACAATTTACCATATACAGATAAGGACATTTTCATTTTTTTTGCCTCTGCTGTAATTGCGATTTTTAATATTTATCTTTCCCGTGCCTGCCTGGAAGTAAACTTCTCTTCTTAAGTTTGAACTGATATGATTATAAGAAGATTATGTTTGTCTGTGCTCTTGGCATGTCTTTCTCTTCTTTGATTCTTCCCATTCTTTGGGGGTTTCTTACATGTAAAAATGGCAAAGAATGACTGTATCTTCATAATAAATGATTATATATGATAGAAAAACAACTATTCTGCCGTTTCGTCATCACGTGTGTTTGTCTATATAGATTGTGTTAGCCATCATGCTTCGTCTTATATTTTTTAATTTGATCGAAACAAATCATATCTTTTTAACAGGTTCAATGTGTTAGGCCTTCCTGTTTCCTTTCCTATTTGTGTTAGTAATTTTATGTGTTCTTACACATGTACTGATACAAGGTCATCCAGTGGTCTCCTACACACGTCCAAATACCTTAGCGTGTTTTCGGTGTCTCATCTATTGTGGCTATGAAAACTTCCTTTTCTATCTTTTCATTTCTATTCTTATCTAATATGGAACACCTTCCATCCTTACTAGTGTGCTTTTATACCATAAAGGAGTGTCTTTGAGTTGTTTTAAGTGCAGGACGATACTCTTAGAACATCCATGCTTTCTAGCTTTTGGGTGGCTGGATAAGAAACTTGTCTTTAAACACACATTTTAAACATCTTCATCTAATCCTCCTGTTGGTACTTCTTTTCAGTGCGGAGCTTGTGTTTGAAGAAAAAATTTATTACAATGATCTTGTAGAGTCTATTGAAGATACTTCAGCTTTATCTGTGGACAAAGATGGCTGTTCCCCACCAAGTCAAACTGGTAATACAGAATTGCCAAATGGTGTGGGCTATTTATTTTTTATTTTGATAGCTCAATTGTAAATATTTGTGGTTGTATTTTTTGTTTTTCTTTGTGTTTTGTGTTTTTGATTCCATGCTTGGTATAAATGCGAGAATGGCAAAATTGTACTCCAAGCTATTCCAGTACAGCAGCTAGGTGGAGAGTATAAAGAACTTGTACCCTGTCGAAGTGGCCGATGGTTATATAATTAATATTTTCGAAAACAGAAGTAACCAGTGTGATTTAACTTTTTGTTGAAGAATGACCAATGAGAACACAGGGAAATATGGACATTATGTAGTTGGGGTTGGTTGGCTTAAGTCTGGTAATGTAGTTATGGTTCATATTGGTGGAACAAACTTGTCGTGTTTAAGAGTTTTCCATTGTTGATCAATTGTATTAATAATTCTCTTTCCATGTCATCTTTTAGCAACTTTTGATTTCAGGGTGAATGTTGTTCATTTTCCAACTGATCAGGATTTTATTTGTGATTTTAGTACAATTTGGGTTACCTAAAGTACTATGTGGCTGACATGGATAATGATCACATTTATTTTGGTTGATTTGATCTGGATGTCAGAAACCTTTGTGGTGGGGAGATAAACTGCTTCTTACAGTTGTGGTCATCAACTCAAATTACAATTATACAGGATGCTTATTGAAGTTTAATAATTACACATCTCAACCAATTGTTCCAGTTATATAGTTAACACATATGATTGATATTCAGATATGCAAGAAAAAGAAGGGGATCACGGAAACCCTAATGATCCTCGCGTGAGATTGAAACGGGACTGTGTTGGTATCATGGCTGTATTTAAACTCAAGGATCCCTCTCTTCACCATGTCATTATTGCAAACACCCATTTGTACTGGTAATTTGCTGGTTCCCGTTGAATCTTGATTACTACTGGAGGATATAATTGGTTTTTAGTGTCTTCAATGTTTGAAGCTGGAGAATTTTTGTTTAGAGGTGTTAGTTAGATAAGACTCTGATACTAGGAGTTATTAAATGTTGGCTTCAGGGATCCAGAATGGGCTGATGTTAAGCTAGCACAAGCTGAATATCTTCTTGCGCGTATTCTGCAATTTAAACAGTTAGTTTTAAGCAAACTAGGTTGCACTCCCTCTGTGGTTGTTGCTGGCGACTTCAATTCTGTACCTGGAGATAAGGTTTGTTTGAGCTTTCCTTTTTCATTTAGAAATTCCTGCTTTTCTTTCGCCTGTTCTCCGACTGACATTTGATTCATTATCTGGTGCATAAATACGTATAGCTGTTTGTTGATGATCTGAATTTTGTTGATTATTGCCTCATTTAAAGAATAACCTACCTGGGTGATGCAGGGAGCACTCTTGTTTTTTTTTGTTTTTTTTTTTGTTTTTGTTTTTGGTAAATAGGGAGCATTCTTAACTAATACAAGCTTTCTATCATAATTAGAGGTTGTTTGTGTAATTTTTCTTTCACATGTGTTCTCCTGCGACCTGCATCCTATGTTGATACAAATTGGGCCCGTAATACCTCTACCCTGGTGCAGTGCGCCTTTTACGTTGTATTCCAGCTTATAAGCTGCACAGGCCTAATCACTAGGAGTTGTCTCATAAAACAAATTCTTCCTGTATCTTTTAAATAGATACATCTTTTAAGAGATTGAATTATTTGATCTTTATGTCATGTTCAGGAGGTAGTTTGGATATCTTTTTTCCTGTGTGGCTTCTCATAACTTGTAAGTTCACATAAACTAAATAATGCTGCTGACGGACTGGTGGACTTGGTGGTTTATTGCTAAAGTTAACCTTTTTAAAAGGAAGGAAGATCATGAAATCTTGGAATCCAGAAATGGGGTCCTCTATAACCAGCCATCACATCACATCCCATCCTATCCCATATCACATCTTTCATGTTACGTACTATGGGTTGTATCTTATGTTGCTAGGCTGAATTAGAAAGAAATGATGGCTAAAGGAGGAAAGATAATGAAAATCTAGGAATCCAGAAATGGGTTCCTCTATAGACAAACATCACATCCCATCTCAAATCAGTTTTTCTCTTAGGTTAACTAGACTGAACTAGTTAGGAATTGAGATTGGATATCTAGTAGGCATTTGTTAAATCATTCATTATGATTAAGGTAGGATCACATCACACAACTTCAAGATAGTGAAAAGTTTAGTGGAAGGATGGCAAAGGTTTTGGACGATAACTGATAATTGGTACACAATTGGGCATGTGAATATTTGGGTTATTTCCAATAAAATTTTAGAGTGCTTATTAAGTTTCCTGCTTTTCCTCTTTCGCCAAATGAAAAAGTCTAAAATTGGTTTGTGCTAGCACTCATATAGGCTTTTGATCTTGATATCTACATGTTCCATGATCCATAAGTTTACTTTTCAACAAAGACATGCATTATTGTTATATTCTTTCACCTCTCTTCCATTTATGGTACTGATAAGATCCGTGATGTATAACGTGGTAATGACCATAGTAATAACACGGCATGGACATATGAGACATCCGATTGCTAATTTTGCTATTATGAGGCATATCATTGATGAACTGCTTGATAGATTTTTTGGGCTTCTTTTAATTATTTTCGTGGTATCTCCATTTCCCTTCATTGAAACTTCATCTATGCATTCAGATTTATGTCCGAAAGTTATCGTTAATCAACACGCACCCATCTGAACTAATCATGAGTACTCACACAAGACCACTCTTTCAGGTATACCAGTATCTTGTTTCTGGAGCCTCAGATGTTCGGCCCTCGTCAGAGAGTTCAGATGACCAGCCAGTTCCCTTATCTAGTGTTTATGCACACACGAGGGGAGAACCAGATTTTACAAACTGTACTCCTGGGTTTACAGGAACTCTTGATTACATCTTTTTCTCTCCTTCTGGAAACATTAGGCCAGTCAGTTTCCTTGAACTTCCTGAACCAGAATCCCCGGATGTTGTTGGTGGATTACCAAATCATTATCATCCAAGTGATCATCTACCGATTGGTGCTGAATTTGAAGTTGTAGAATAATTCCTTTTTTCTGTTCGTAAATGCTTACAAAGAAGATATCGATAGTCGGTAGGGGTCATTCGGCCAAAAAAATTTATTTTAATTTTGGTGGACATAAGTAATTGTCTTGGATTTGGCAAATCCGAGAGTTTAATTAATCGGACTTTCGGATTTGCCAAATCCGAAACAATAAAAAATAATAAAATATTAATTTTTTTTTTTGATTTTGAAAAAAAAAGGAACCGAGATCAAAATGTGTACAGTAAATTCGGATTTTCAAAATCCGAGAGCTTCCCTAACATATTTTTTTTTTGAAAAAAATTGAAGGGCGGAAAAATTTAAAATTTTATTTATGGTGGGAAAGTTTGAAAATTTAATAAATGAACAATGGACTCAGATTTTAGAAATCCGAACTACCTTTTTTTTTTTAAAAAAACTTTTAGTGCAAAAAACTTTGAAAATTTGAGTTTTGATCGGAATTCGCATTAAATTGATATATCCACTTTTAAAAAAATAAAAAATAAAATATTGTATAAGATATGATATTAATAAAATCTTTTATTAAAAAATATTGTATTAGATATGATATTAATAAAAATAAAAAATAAAAATATTGTATTAGATCTGATATTAATATTGTATTAGATATGATACTAATAATTTCTAGGAATTTACATTAAATTGATGAAAAATATATTATTAATGTTACGTAGTATTATTAAAACTGATAGGAATTTGAATTAAATTAATATTCATTATAATTTATGAAAAATATATGTTATTGGTGTTACGTAGTGTTATAAACTATTTGTACGTATGAGTATTATGTATTACATTAATACTATTACCCACTATATATTAGTGGTATTAGTGTTAATTATTACTGTTAAATCTGTTAGTCATTAAAAATTATTATTAATTTAGTATAATTCGTATATACTAGTGTTATGTACTTTTTATACGTACTAGTATTATTAGTACATTAATAACTATTACCCACTATACATTAATGTACTAGTGTAACTTATTATTGTTAAATCTGCTAGTCATTAGATAATATCATTAATTCGGTATAATTCATATTTACTAGTGTTATGTACTAGTATTATGTAATACATTAATACTATTACCAACTATACATCACTGGTGCTAGTGTTACTCATTACTGTTAAATCTGTTAGTCATTAGATATTATCATTAATTTGGTATAATTCATCAATACTAGTGTTATGTACTATTTATACGTACTTGTATTATGTAGTATATTAGTACAATTACTCACTATACATTATCGGTACTAGTGTTACTTATTACTGTTAAATTTGTTACTCATTAGATATTATTATTAATTCAGTATAATTCATCTGTACTAGTGTTATGTACTTTTTAAGCAAATAATCGAATTTCTAGAATTAGAGTTAAGAAAAAAAATTGAATTTTCAAAATCAGGCCGTAGGGTTTAGGGTTAGAGTTTAGTTTCGGATTTCCCAAATCTGAGTTTATCTCAAACTCGGATTACGAGAATCCGAGATTAGCTTAAACTCGGATCTTGAAAATCTGAGATTAGTTTAAATTCGGATTTCGCAAATTCGAGTTAATCGGACTTGGAAAATCGGTAACTAAACCCTAAATGTCGGATTTCGTAAATCCGAGTTCAGCTTAAACTCGGATTTCTAAAATCCGACATTTAGTGTTTAGTTACGGATTTTTCAAATACGATTTTAGTTTAAACTCGGATTTCTCAAATCCGAGTTTAATTAAAAATTGTGTTTTCAATATCTGATTTAGTTCAAAACGTTGGATTTTAGGGTTTAGTGTTTTGTTCAATTTGCCTTGTGTGGGTATAGGCACTACCCGGGTGAACGCAAATCCGAAAGTTGCCATTTTCTAAACAACTCGAATTTCTCAAATCCGAGAATAAGTAGAGAGTGACTCGGAATACGAAATCCGAGTCTCCTTCTTTTTATTTTTAACACTTATTTTTTTTTTCTAAAACTTAAAATAATTTTTATTATAAACTTTTGGATTTCCGAAATCCGAATTTCCATGTTTCGGATTAGGCTAATCCGTTTATAGTCAATTTTAATTTTCGAATACTTAGATTATTTTCCAAAAAATAAATATTTTTTTATTGCCGACTCTCGGATTTGCGAAATCCTACTCTTGATTAGTTTAAGTTAATTTTTTGATTTAATTTAAGTAATTTTAGATTACTAAAGTCTCGGATTACACTAATCCGAGTTTCGGTGGTCTCGGATTTGCGAAATTCGATTGTACCGTACTCTCAGATTTGGCAAATTCGAGAGAACTATATTGTCCACCTAATTTAGATTCATATTATTTTTGTCCAAGGGCTTTTTTTAATAATTTTTTGGGTAAAAAACTCTAGTCGGTAGTAAGTCTAGGTTTTTTAGATAACTTGTACAATCTATTTTGTATTGGATAACAAATTTCTTGCTTCGCGTCGATTTGTCAAATCTTCCAGCGTACTTGTTAACTTGATGAAGATGTCTGCTTTGAGAAATAGGACCACAAGGGAAAGAAGGTGGTTACATATTTTTTTACACAAAGAGATGACTTATGTTGAAAACTTGAAATAATTTAGCCTCATTTGATTAGACGATGAAATCGTTGTTTCGATACATTAAAAAAAGTTATTTGTGAAATATATGTGAATTGCTTGTTCACGATGGTTTTTGTATAAATGCTGTAATTGAGGCTAGCTCAAATGGGATATGTATTACTTTAATTATTCATAGTCTAAAAACATTTTAGGGTTTATATATCAAGAATATTCCCGAAATTTAAGGGATGTTTAGCTAATTTCTTAAATGTTAAGTGAGTTTCAGATAATCAGTCTTGAGAGTATTTTTTAGCTTAAAGAGCAAAGTTAACATTTCTTTACAAAATTGCCCCTAGAAGTCAATCCATGTATTTCTCTCGCCATGATTGCCGCTTCGTTAATTCGTCCGTCCCAATCTTTGATCAGTTGCTCAATCGCGCTCTGGCGCTATTATTACTTGAGTTTTTTTATCGAAAAAATTATTAAAGGAAGAACCTCGACAAAAATAATAATAAGCAAAATAAGGTGGACAGATGTAATTATTACTGATTTGCCAAATTCGAAACAAGAGCCCAGTCGGATTTGGCAAATCCGAAACATGGTAAACCCGGATAAGCGTAATCCGAGACAGTGTTAATTCAAGCGTAATCCCATAAATACTAATAATTAAAATGTGTATAAATGGTCAAAAATTAAATTCACACGTATTAATTCAAGGTCTATACCTGTAGAAGATATCCACAACCGGTTATATCACGTTTGTCGTATTTACTAGCCTCGAATATGTTAGAATACAAGTAAGCACGGAGAGCCGATCCCCAACTAAGCTTTGCACAAGTTGCAAAATCTGCCAAATGGTTCAATAAATATACACCAACACTGTTTTGGCTCTTGTTCGGAAACATAAAACAACCCATAAACTATAAAAGAATTAATCGGGCCCTTTGTATATACACGATCTCCGGAGAACCTACAAAATACAACACTTCAAATCTTTACATTCTTTTCAATATAAGTTGTTAATTCAAAATATTTAAAAATAAATAAATAAATAAATAATTACCTTCAGGGATTGGATGGAGCGCTACTGCCTCTAAAACGGAAGTCTTAAGTGTATTTTCCACAATTCGACCCGCGGCAGGGGTGAATCCCAACATGTCTTGGTATATTAATTGTCATTTTGCCGCATTGTGGTTAGGCGCTACACCGCAAACCATATCCCCATCGACCCTGAGACCAAAGAGGACCTCAACATCCTGCAACGTCATGGTTGCCTCTCCGAATGGGAAGTGAAAAGTGTGTCTCTGGTTTCTATCGTTCCACCAATGCAGTGATGAGACAATTATCACACTTTTTACACCCTATTTTCAATACCCCTTCGAACCCGGCGGTTCCCATGAACGCTCGTACTTCCGGAGGGGTAGTATTACCATAATAGCATTTCCAAAGCTTTAGGTCAAACTTACGCCCTTTTAAAGGTTCGGTCTTCATCGAGGGGTCGGAGTCATGGTACACTAATAAACTACGGTGTTCATGTTGAAGATACAATAGTTTATCTTTAATAGGACCCGGATGAACATACTTGGCTTTATATTGTGAACCGGATGGATTAGACATGACTACCTACACCACCAATAAAATCAAGTCAACAATCAAATAGGGCTCAATTCAAAAATAAGACAACCAAAAAACCAATTCCAAATAAATTAGCGCTCAAATCAACAAGAAAATAAGACAAAGTAATAATAGGGCTCAATTTCTTCCAAAGAACCAATTTAAACAATCAAATAGGGCTCAATACCCAAACTCAACACTTTCAATTAAAACTCAACACAAAATAACGTGATTGAACCATCCAACATACACGCATGCTCTTTTTCAAAAAGAAGAAAAAAAAATCCCTTGATAATCACCATCCAACATTTACCCAATTCCAACATTTGGGAAGGAAATAATCACTCGGATTACCCAATTCCAATACTTTCAATTAAAACACTATAAAATAATCCTTTGGATTACCCAATTCCAACATTTAGAGAGGAAAAAGAAATAATCACTATCGCATCAATATATTATGCACAGTAACAACAAATTCGAACATATTAATCATTCCAAATACTATCAGGAGCAACAATTCAAAAAAACAAAAATTAGGAGCAACAATTCAAAAAAAAAAATTAGGGCAAAATTAAATTGGGGGAAAAAATTAGTGCAAATCTGAAAGGAGTGGAAGTTTACGGCAGAGGTTGTTACCTTTGTATTGGGAACGACGCCGGAGGTAACGGTAGAGAGGGGGAAGTATGACGGCGGCGGCAATGGAGTGCAGTGAGGTGGCGGCGGTGTTGGAGTAGGGTGGCGGCGGCAGTGGAGGCGGCTGGTGTTGGTGGAGTGCACAGAGCAAAGTGAGTGGTGGAGGAGGGTGGATTCGGTGATGGGGGAACGGCGGCGGCGGTGGACT